GTTGGAATACTACCAATCTAGCGTGTTTTAGATTTAACGGAAAAAAAATCAATATTTCTGGACTTTTCAAGAATTTCATAGCATTTAAAATTCCCAAAACAAAATATAATAAGAAGCGCGAGCCTTATGTAGATCGGACATTCGAACGTGCTTCATTAAGATTTCCAAACTTGCAAATTTCCGTTTGCACAGTATGCAGTATTTCTTTTCCAGGTCGACAAAGCTTTCATCCGACTGCAGCCTAAAACATGATGAAGTCAAACAGAAGCAGAGAGCAGCACGCTTTCTTTTTTCTAATCAGAAGCATCCAGAAAATTCCAGCAAAAACACAGCAAAAAGGAAGGATTTGCGATGAGCTGCACCTTCTGGTGGATGAAGTAGTGACCGGCTCGGCCATGGCAGGCGGCGGTAAACTGGCCGTATTTGGTTCAAGACGAGCAGCAGGTCTGCTGTTCAGTGCTGGCCGACTGGCACCCACTGCTGCAATCTTGGCTAGCGGAGGCATCTCCTCCTCTTCATCTTCATCGCTCAGTGAGCCAAATGGATTCTAAACAGTGGATTTTCTAAAAACAAGACACAGCCAGATCACAGAAAACAAAGATGGTACTGCTGTGAAAAGCATGTGAAAAGTAACTGACATTCGTCTTCTCAAGCATTTTGAAGGTGATATCGGCGGTTGGTTCAACGACACTCGCTTTCGGTTTCGAATTCGTCACCAGTGGTGAAGTGGTTTCCAACTTCGCAGGTGCTTTAACCGCCAACAGTACTTTACTCTGCCTCTTTGCCCATCGCGCCATTTCCCGAGCGATATCCTTTGCTGTCTTTTGGGGCTAAAAATCACCACATACGAAACGTGAAAAATCCAGTCCGAAATTTCTTTTCGAAGAGGATGAAATATCAGTAAAATACTTCTTTCTTCGGTTCATCCTTAACGGTATCAGTTTTTTCGCCAGTGCTATTTTGGCCTCCATTATCTTTGCTCGTCTCTGCAAAGTGCATTGTTTAAAAAAAACGCACAGTCAAAAAAAAATTCTGACTGTAACCCCGGATTTTCTCCTGCATTACAATTTGCACTCCTTTGGCACAGCTTCTACATCCCTACTGGTGAAACTTGTGCTTTTCTAGCTATAAAAAAAATTTTTGCCTTTTGTTTCCGCACTTTTTTCTCTCGCAAAAATGATTGTAACGGCTCTTTTCAGTGCCACTATGTAACTGAAGATGAGGTTATTCGATCAGAGCTAGCCTTATCAGTAAAGGGAAATCATAACATATCACTACCCACTAACCTTGGCCTTTTTCAGACTGCGCTGTCATTGCATCGCAAGGTATGTACGTCTGATAGGTAGCATTCCAGCAGTTCCATTTCTGAGCGCTCGTATCCCAATAATACTGCGAATTGCTGTCGTAATAGAGACCAGTGCTAGGGTCATAATACAAACCAGATGACGGCTCGTACTGATAAATTGTCGGATTAGGAGCGTCTGCAGGAAAAAAAATATTTGATTAGCTATCGCTCTATCGCTGACAAAGTAAAACATAAAAGTAATCTGAGAGCTTATAAATGTCCCTTCCTCTGTGAAGCACAGTTTCTTTAAGCTGAAAACCATACGATATCTCTTGTAACGTCCCCAAGGAGTTTCCACTTCACCCAAATCCGCAGCTCCTTTGATCTGCGGTCCCGTGTACGACGACGACATCGTCCTCTGCTTCTCTCTATCGGCTGGATCTTCCGAATCCTTCAAATTAAACAAATATTTTGAAAAGCTGAGAAAGGCAAATTGCAGCAAAGTGTATATATATACATACACTGAGCGAACTGGCAACAACCGATTTGAAAATTCGTTTTTTATGCTAACATAGTTATCAGCAATCAGAAGGGGTGTGCGGGCGTAAAAGTTGACAAATGCACCGCATAGACGTAGTTCCACTGTTCAAGAGGTGGCTCCCTATCTTTGAAATAATCGAAGACAACAAAATTAGTCGCTTGTGCCATTTGTAATGGTCGCCGGTTTAACATTACTCGAACTGAAACTCCGGCATATTGCGGCGACACCTGAGCACACCCTACTTATACCAAGGATCTCTAATTTTTCGCTTAAATTCCAAGATTCCTTTTTAGATGTTCTGTTACAAATAGCACAATGACTGACAATCAAGGCGTTAACTCTTATTCAAAACCCAAAAGCTCTTCTCCGAGCAGAAAAATTACTGACCTTCTCGTTGTTGATAATGGAACTGGTCATCTGGCGTATGAGCTGTGCTTTCGCTATGGCCAACTGAGCTGCTTCCACGCCAGCATTGCCACCTGTAAAAAATAACAAACAGTACTAGTAGCCATCAGCACAAGCTATTCCATAGTTTCCAGGCCGTGTTTTCGATCTGCTGACTAAGTCGCTGTTTTGTCAAATTTTTTTTTTTATTTCTAAATTTTTCTTAGTCTGCAAAAATAGGCAATAAAATAAAATGTAAGGAAAGGGAAATCTTATTTCTGACATCAATAAAATACAGCAAATTAAAGAAGACATAACAACCTCTCATTCGTGTATCAAGCACAAGAAACTAACTTGATCCAGCCTGAGGTTTGAACGCAGGCATTTGGCTGAT